CCTAAAAAGGTCAAATCAAGCTCGGGGATTCTAAAAATTCAACCAAGACCACTCCTAAGCCTAAAATCATCCTCCAAATCCAACAGAACTGTCGAAAATCCAATCCGAGCATCCGAAGGTCGAACGTTGACCAAAGTCAACCCAAAGACTAAAATTTCAACAATTTCAAACTTAGGGCCTCAAATCCTCAAAAGGACTCCGAATATGAAATCGACAACTCTCTCAAATCAATTTTCACATTCCAAAACTAATGTAATCGACGGAATTCCATTCCGAGACCGAAACTCCGAAAAACACTGAAAATCACTTTTCAACAACTTTAGTCTTTCAACTCCCAAACTTTCCATAATTCATAAATTTTCACTCAAAACTCGAAATCAATTTCAAAACTCATTCAAAAGTGACACAGGGTCAATAACGGGAGGGGCAAAATGGTAATTTTACAAAAAATTCTAAAAATAACCTACCGGGTCATTACATTTTCCCTTTTGAGTTATTCTCAAACTATTCTTGTAAACACGTGCAATCCCATCCCCAACTGAGACCACTCGACCGATTTCATGTAAATAATTCAAAGTAAAATCATAAATATGAACAATTAACTCTATTAAATTTATCACCTAGAAAATGTAAATGATGGACAAAAATGGAAGAAGCTTCCAACAATTCTCTTGAACTTTGAAGAATATACTTATTTTGAACTATGAAAAAAGACCCAACAATTTACTTATTTTGAAATGAAGCGAGTATCATCTTACTTTCTTTTTTAGTCTATTTCAAAATAATGTCTCTTTCATGATTTGAAAATTCTTTAATTTCGATATCTCACATGTTATGCTTAACACCATAAAATTAAATGACATTTTAGTATCAAGACTACAAGATTTAACATAGTTCTTCGATGTCTTAAATTTCATTTCCAACCAAATTAAGACAAACAAATTGAAATAAAATGAATAATACTGAACTCCCCTAGACGAGAGGGAGTTGCTCGGATGGTAAGCACCCCTCACTTCCAACCCGAAGGTTGCGAGTTCGAGTCACCAAGGGAGCAAAAGGGGTGGGAGCTCCTAGGGAGGGTAAAAAAAATAAACAAAAAAAAAAATCCCCTAATTTGATTTATTTATGATAATTTTTTTAATATATTTATCATTAGTACAAAAAATTATTTTCTGATTAGCTTACCTTTATAATATACTTTTTTCTTATTTAACTAATTTAAAAACATCTTAGAATGCGATGTGCAAGTCTTAGACGCAAATTAATTCATTATTAATTGATAGAATCGATTCTCATATTTTCTGTGGGTGGCTTTATCGGGAAATTCTTTTCATTTTGCGTCATAGATAGTTGAGTTTTTTTACTACAACTTTCAATTACAGTAAAACATCACTAAATTAATATAGGTGGGATTATAAAATATTATTATTTTATAGAGGTGTTATTTAATCGATAAATTAATATTTATTAATTTAAAGAGTGTTTTGAGATCCAATATTGTGAAGGTGAGATAATAAGAGCTTTCAAGATGTATTATCGCAACAGATTTTACAGTACGATATTAGAAGACTATGAAGTGGGAAAAATTAATCAGGAAAGATTAATGTTTTGGATGCTATCAATTTTGCAGTCCTGACTTGGACTAAAAATGTTCAGCAAGAGGCAATAGCAAATTATCTTCGACACAACAAATTTTGTTCAGAGGATGAGATCTTCATAGAATTTGAATGAACCCACATGTGAAAACGACGTCATTCAAGAACTTGAGGTCATGATTAATGATCTCGATTACCGCAATAAAATGAACGTCAATAACCTATTGGATTACCAGAGCTTAGAAGAAATTGTGGATACCATCGAAAAGACAATGTTGATTAAGATGAAGATTATACAATATCCTTGGAACCAGTTATGCGTAAAGAAACACTTATTGCATCTAGAACTCTTTACAATTTTATAGTGCAGTTTGAAAAGACAACACCGGAACTTTAGGATGCAATAAGAAAAGTTAGAAATGAACTTCAACTAGATTTAAAGTTTAACAAAAAACAAAACACAATAGAATCATAATTCACTAAATTGTGTATATATATTTGTACTTTTAAAGTATTAATGATTTATAATTAATGGGACCATATATTTATATAGGAGTTTTCTGAAAATATATTATCTTATCGAAATGAGTGAGTTTTTCCATTGACCCAAGTCGAGACCGGAGGAAAATATTATCTTAAAAAAATTATTAGTTTATTGAGTAGTAATTTAGTGAGATTTACCGTATTTCTAATAATATGGTATCAACCTCATTGATGATAAAAGTAAATTTCATAAGACGAATTATGACATTTTTATGAATTGAATTAGAAGAAGTAAAACAACAATTAAAGAATTTGATTACCATTGCGATTTTGATATGGTTCCTCATATAGTCAAATACTACTTAATGGTAAGATGTTGAAATTTATTGAAATTAATAATCCATAAAAAATCTTATTTGGATCACTAGCATAATATTAGAAGAATTAATCTTTTAGGGGTCGTTTGGTGTAAGGGATAATAATAGATAGTCTTGGGATAAAAAATTAGTCTTGGATAAAAATTGGTGTCTTGTTTGGTTGTCATGTTTGGAATAACTTATCCCACCATTTATACCATAGTGATGAGATAAGTTATCTCATATACATGATAGGATAAATTATCACAGAATAATTAAATCTGAGATAACTTGTTCCCAACCAAACGACCCTTAGGATTGTACCCATTATAAATTTGTTGACTTGGAAATCAAGAAAATGGATATACTTGAAAGTTACGAAACAAGCATGGTCTTATTCTTGAAATACTATATAAATGTTTAGTAAATGATGAGTGAATAATAGAATATTCTTATTCTACCTTAACTTATTTGGCTAGAATATACAGATAATCATTCAACTATTAAAAAAATTTCACAAAAAGTCATTCAATTTTGATTTTTTAACTCAAAAGTTATTCAACTATAAACTTTTTTTCATAGAAAGTAATTCCATTTTGATTTCTAATTCAAACGTCACTCAACTATGAATATTATTTTTTTTTACATAAAATCACTCAATTATAGATGTGTTATTTACAAAGTCAATCAAATCTATTTAACAAAATAAGAAAATATTCAATTAAACCAATTAATGACTCCTTTCACTTAACTCGAGTTGAATGACTTTAGAGTAAAAAAATAAAATCTGATGACTTTCTTTGAAAAAAATCATAATTAACTGATTTTTAAATTAAAAATCAAAGTTGAATAGTTTTTCAAAAAATATGTACAGTTGAATGACTGAAATATTAAGCACCAGAATGATTTATAGCCAGATGATCACTCAACCAGAATAGTTTCTAAGCATAGTTGAGTGACCATTTTGGTACTTACTCCAATATTGCAAATTATATACTCTACAATTTCAATTTTGTGATTGTACATATTTGGGCAATTTTGCCATCTACTTCCTTTGTCTCTAATTATTTATACACTTTAAAATTAAGATACCTATTAAAAAAATGATTATTGACATAGTGAGTTTATCATTTTATTCCTATTAATTATGAAGTAGAATAGTAGATGAATTAAAAACTCAAAGATTTTCAAGAAGTTATACCTTTTTCAAAATAATTAATTAAGGGTATAATAGGAAAAAAATTATCCTTTCTTGATTTGTCAAAATGGACAAGCAATTAGGAACAACTAAAAAAGAAAAAATCAACAAGTAAATAAGGATAGAGGGAATATTAAATATAGAATATAGAAATAAAAAATTCAAACAAAAAGGAAGTTTTTGTGAGTTTCTTCCTCCTCCTCCTCTAACTCTTTCCGCTATTACCATATCCATTAATTATAGAAATAAAAAATTCAAAAAAGAAAGAGAAGCTTAATTGATTTTTGATTAGCTGAAAATTAATAGACCTTTATCAAAACAACACATGATAAATATTTAAATCATTAACATAATACAACGAATAACAACCATTAAAATAAGGTCAATTATAGAAAAACACTATTTTTCTAAAAAAAGAATTGTGTCCGATCGATGAGGATCAAGAAAAAGAAGCAGTACTCTGGGTGTGTTTGGTACGAAGGAAAACTTTTTTTGGAAAACAAATGAATTTCTAACTTATTTTCTTAGTTTGGTTGATGAGTAGAATTTTTATTTTTAATGTTTGATTGGTGAATGCAAAATATTTTCTAGAAAATATCTTTTATTTTTGGTTTGAGACTAGAAATTACTCTTTAGGAAAATAATTTCTGATCCAAAAATCAACCCCGATAATTAATCTAGGACCCGACCTTGACACGCGAATTAGGACAAGACCCTGATGATCGTTTCAAAATTCAACTCTGAGATCTGACCCAGAAAAATATTTTTAAAAAAAAATTGAAGGGGATGGCGGCGGCGGGGGAGGGGGGTATACATTTTTTTCTTAAAATTTAAAATATTTTTCAAAAACAATTGACGGTGTGGCTTGGGTGTGTGGCGAGGGCGAGCGAGAAGGGGTAGAGGGTGGCGTAAAAAAAAATTGACAGGGGAAGGGGGTCAGGTATAAGGTGGAGTAAAAAAAAAATGAAAATTTAAAATATTTTTTTGAATTTTTTTTTCTTTTGTGTGTGTCGGGGGTGGGGGGTGGGGGGGAGGCCGGGATAGGGGTGATAGGGGTTTGGTGAGGTCTAAGCGAAAATTGATGTCAATTTTATGTTGTCATCAATAACTTCTACCAATATACATATATAAAGGTATTTTTGAACAACACATGAAATTTTGTTATCATAAACAATAATTCAGACTAACCATCTCAATATATTATTAATGAAAATCATATGAAAATACATGTTTGCAGCATTATTGAAATAAAATTTTCTAAAAAAATCAACACCTTATTAATATAAATTTAAACTTACTAGAGTCTTCCCTAATATATCTATAAGTGATAATTTAGGGTGAATCATTTTAATTTGAATTTTTTAAATTTCACACTCCAAAAGATTCATATATCGTTGAGGATGAAACTTCAATTTCTAATTGATTCAAACGATGGTGCATATTAGAACTAGTTTCATTTAACCAAGTTCCAAATATGAACACTTCATCTGCACTGAGCTGCTCAATCGACTCCCACCAACCTTTTTGTCTTGTTTCCGTCATTTGGTCATAAGAGCTACTTTTAGCAATCGCAATGTCTTCAACGACATCAAGTTCTTTAAGCTTATTTTTGAGTTGATTCACTTCATCTCTAGCAGCATTTGCTTCTAGATTTGTACTTTCACTTAACTGTATATTAGGATTCTGAAATCGAGAAATAACTGCATCAACTGTAGGATGAAAAAATGAGTGAGGTTTACCAGCAGGGGAAATCATCATTATTCCAATGTCAACATCGCATTCTGTAACGAGTTCGCTAGCTTTTTTATACAAACCCTCACGACGCTTTGTAAATGTAGCAAACATGGCATCCTTATTTTCAATTTTGTTCATTGGTATCTTTTGACGCCCTTTAGTCTTTTTTCTCTCCATGCCTAAATAAAACGTTTTTCAGCAAATGATACTTGTGAAAAAATGACATTGCACTTATTTATATACAATTTTTTATTAAATAATATATAATTATTTTTTTAGTCAAACATTAAAAATAAAAATAGTATTTTCATCATAGAGAAAATTAGGAAATAAATTTAATATTATACTGCAAATATATTTTGTATATTGACCACACTATTAAAATATAATTTTTTAAATCAACTATTAAAATATTTTAATACACTCATGAAATTTCTTAAGTTAAAGTTAGAAAATATATTTATAATTTTAAAAAGACAAAATAAAACTCCATTTTTAGAAAAACTTTTTTTATGATAAACAAAACAATATAGTAACAATAATAAATCTGAAAGTTATCTATAATAGGAAATATCTTAATATTTTGCATAAATAATTTAAATAGACAATAAAAATTAATTGATTATAATTAGAAATAACATAAATTGCAAATTAAAGTAATTTTAAATTTAAAATTAAATAGACATTGACTTGAATAAGATTCAAATAATTAACTTTAATAGGAAATACATTAATGAAATGCAATAATATAAAAGGAAATTATATAATGAAATGTCTAGTTGAAGTTAACAAATATGAATATAATTAGCGGTAAAATAAATTACATGCCAAACTTTTTTAGTTTTTTTTTTTTTAATGAGAAACAAAATCAAAATCCTAATTTACTTTAGTAATAATAAATCTAAAGCTTAATCATAATAGGAAAATATATTAATGTTCTTTCATAAATTGCAGTGCTACAAAATTTAAATTTTTAAGTAAAATCAAATCATTCATATGCACAATAAATAACCATTGACTTAAAAGTAGGATTCTAAAGTCTAATCTTAATAGAAAAATATATTAATGACACACAACAATAAAGAAATAAAATTTTATACATATTAATAACAAGAAGGTTTACAACCTCAAACTAATGTACTAATAACTGACTAGAAAGTCTATGTCACGACCCGAGCTTACACCCCGAAAGTGATACGGTGTACAAGACTTCGAAGAGCCTCATACAAGCCTCATAGCATTCATAACATAAGATAATAGAAATAGTGCGGAATTAAAACCTTTCTTTAAATCCATACAATCGAAAAGCTTCATTTAAAACAGCGGAAGTCTATAAGTCTCACATGGCCATCTAAAAACATTTTGAATTAAAATGTGGGGTCATGACCCTTACAATAGAAAGTCTAACAAGAGTCTAATACAATAAAAGACGGGAAACATCAATAAAAACACTTGTCCTTGAATTCATGAGGACATACCACAAGCCTTGGAGGAACTCAATCCAAGCTTCAACTAGAAGGAATCAACTCACTTGTCGGAACCTACACTTTGTAGTAAAAGTAGAAGAAATATGGGTTAGCATACAAAAATGTACTAAGTATGATGACCATGCAAATATCATGCTTAAAAATGACATTTTGGTCAAAACCATGCATTATGCCAATTTCTTTTGAAACATCATGTACATTAGTATAAGAAGCATATGATACACACATATCAACATATAAGCCATTTCATCACATTAGAACATTCACCTTAAGTAACCCTAAGCTATATTTGTGCAATGTATGAATAGCGTCCCATACCACCATCCACACTAAGTACCATTTTGAGGCCACCAAAAGTGAACTTATCATTCTTCCTTTTCACCTTTAGACAATACTCATACATAAGAAACATAGACATATCATAAGTCATGACAAAGAAAATTACTCATAATACAATCCAAGTAAAACATGCATCATTTCATTAAGCCTTAAGTCAAGATTCTTCATTAGCTTCATTAAGAGCACATTCGTTCATTAGTCATTAAGACCTTAGAGAACTCATCATAGCCCCCTCAAAGCCTACTCGTGCAATGCATGAATGGCATCACATACTACCATTCACACTTCAGAGAACCTCTTGAGTAACCATAGTGCACATCTCACATGATGGGAATAAGCATTAAACGACATAGACTATGAGAGCAAACCATGAAATTCGGTGTCATGTAACCCCACACCGAAAGAAGGTGTCCTACTTGCTTAAGGTAGAACTAAGTGTATTTTAGCTTAGGTGGATCCACTAGCTATACCTATGTGGGCACATAATTATGGGATAAGAAAAGTGTTCATTGAAACTCGGCCTAACGTAGGGAGAGCCTCCATCGTACCATATCCACTCGATACTTAACCTCCATTCCCATAGAGTAGTTCATTTTCATTACATTATTATACTTAAGAGGGCTACCACCATTAGGTCTACCGACTCAAGGTACATTTACACATGAAAGGGCCACCACCATCAGGTCTACCGATTCAAGGTACATTATGAGGATAGCTCATTGAATCCTCAAGAAAGGGCCACCACCATTAGGTCAACTGATTCAAGGTTCATCATTTCACACATGAAATGGCTACCACCATTAGGTCTACCGATCCAAGGTTTATTATTCATTCATTCATTCATAGACTTCTCATGAAAAAGCCACCACCATTAGGTCTACCGATTCAATGTTCATAAGTCAAGATACATTAGCAACACAAGAAAAGGATGTCTAAGCCTACCAATTCAAGGCACAACAATCAGCATTACTTTCATTTACACATGAAGAGGATGCCCTAAGCTTACCAATTCAAGATACAACATTACATTGAATAAACCTTTCACATTCCATCATAATCATTCATAAGTGTCAAATTGAGAAATAGCCTTTCAATATTAACACAATTACATTCAAGACATGATCACATTACCTTCATTGATTTCACATTCATGTACATAACATCATAATCATACTTCAATTCTTCATACTTTGCCCTTCAAGGCCATGAATCACAAATCACCAACACACCAATAATTTACTACAATTTAGGCATGAATAATGATATAATTCAATAAACTAAAGCAATATAGACATATTATATTCACATGCTTTCATAATCAACAAACCCACTTCATGAAGGCATAATTTAGGAATTTAGGAAATTCACGGGTTCTTGGAGTATTTTCATCATAAATCATCAATTAAACACCAATTCATCCATAAACTATCATTAATCAACCTTTGAAAATGTTTGAAGAAGGAACCAATGATTTAGAGTGAAACCCTAGGTTTTTGAGAAACTTGAAAACTTTGAAATCTACTTTTGAATGGACTCTATGGGTGAAAGCTACCCAAAGATGAAGAATCACCATACCTTAATGGAGTTTTCCCCTAAATTTGAGAAGAGACACCTTGGTTCTTCAAGCCCTAGTCTCCACCTCTTCAATGGAGGTTTGTAGAGAGAGATATTAAGAGGGATGAACTCTTTTGGGTGTTTGGGAATAAAGAAGTAAAATAGGTGTTTAAAGACTTAAAACCATTTATATATGTGAAATAAAACAATTAAAAAACGACCCCATACAATACCTAATTAAATAGGAATTTACAAAAACACCCCCAACTAGGCAACCACTCCCAGGCACCACGAGAGGGCCTCACGAGTCGTGGTCCTACCCATGGTCCTTGGGAAGTGGCTATGACTTGGGATCTTGGCCAAAATTAATAGGAGGCATGACCACGAGACCTCCCACGATCCGTGGTCAAGACCACGAGTCGTGGTGTAGGTCGTGGTCTTGAGGCAGTGGCTATGCCTCAATGCCTTGCCTCATACACGCCTAAGGAATCTTCACGACGCCCTTCACATCTTGTCAAGGGTACCACAGCTCGTGGTGGTGCCTGTGGTCCCTTGACCAGTGGCTCATTCAACCTTACACAACCCCCAAGAGGCTATGACAACCCCATGAGCCTTCCCATGGCCCGTGGTCATGACCACGAGCCGTGAAGTGGCTCGTGAAGGGAAGCCTTAGCTTGGCACCAATTTAGGGCACACTGCCTCACCAACCACGGGTGGCACCACGACTCTGGTGGCCATCATGGGTCGTGAAGACCATCGTGGTCATGGTAGGCAGTGGTTAGGCCTAGTTTTAGGTAGCCTTGGCCCCTAGCCATGGCCTTCACCCAAAACCCTTGACCTTTGCCCTTAACCCTTGACGTTAACCTTCACGTTTAGGCTCTAGTTCAATCTACCATTTTTCGAGGTGTTACAGTCTAAGTCCGAAAGGTGGACTTAAACAGAAAGATAACTCATGGCAGCCTGAAAGAACAAACTCATCTTTGAATTCGAACGATCACTGATCTTCTAAGCGAGGTCTGTCAATAGTTGCTTGAAGATGTCCTGTACTCAACAAAGAAAGAGCAAGTGCAGTATCAGTACACAACCACAGTGTATTGGTAGGATCACGCGACTATCCCACTAAGTGCAACATACATAAGCCATAACAACATAATAATAACATGCATACACCGAACATATACAATATTAACATCACTTACGACCAACGTACAATTTCACAATTCTCAAGATATACAGTTATGTCAAGTAAATGGTCCTCTCACGAAACCCACACCTAAACTGTTAGTGTATCGGTACGTGGTACCCGATCCAATGTTTATGTCGGAACATGGAAATCGATCCTATATTTATGTTGGAACGTGGCAACCGATCCAAGTTAGTGTGTCGGAACGCAACACCTGATCCATTCAATAAGCCATAATCACAATCACAAGTATATTCTCAATAATCATACAATCAGAAGTGATTCAAGGCATGTAGTCATTTGTTCATACTCATTTACAATTAATGTGATCAATAATGCAACATCCACATACATACATGCATCATAATGAAGCAAGAACAAACATATATCACACATCATGAAATCACAACCATCACCTACCTTAAACAAAACTTGAATCCCCTAAGAAACTTGATTCTTCCTTTTTCGGATTTGTTTCACTTGTTCTTGGTCTACAAACAATAATTATAACACGAGAATCAATAAACGATAACTAATTACCCGAATTACTAACAATCCCATCAACCCTAAATCAAACCCTTGATCCCAATATCCCAATTAGGGTCGTTCCCACC